TTTTAAGACTCACTCCTGTCTGGTGTCTGTGGCTGCGGGTGGCCCACCGGCCCTGTTGCACGGCCGTGTGTTGCACGAGTGCACCACAGTTTATCCAGTCTGCCATCGGAGGACATGCGGGTTGTTTCCAGTTTCTGGCTGTTGGGAAAAAAATGCTGAAAGGAAAGTTCTGGGACGTGAGTCCTAACGCACAGAAGCACACATTCCTGGAACGGAACTGCCAGGACACGGGGTGATTGTGTCAACAGTATACCCACCTCTGCTTGTCATTGTCAGTGTTGGATTTTTGCCAATCAAGTGAATATATAATCATATTTCATTATGCTTTTAATTTGCATTCCCATCATAATTAATGAAGTTTAGCATCTTTTCAAATATTAATTGGCCCTTTGAGTTTCCTCTGCTGTGAAGTGCCTGTTCAGGGTTTTAACCATTTTCCTATTACATTTTTGAACTTTTTTTTTTTAACTGTTTTGTCAGATTTCTATATGTATTCTGGATATGGATACTAGTCCTTTGTTGATTATGTGTTGTGAACGTCTTTTCCCACTTTATGGCTTGTCTCTTCACTCACTGGAGCATTTCTTATTTTGAAGTAATCTTAAGACTTCCAGAAAAGTTGCAAAACTAATATTCTCATTTAACTTCCCCTAGTGTTAAAAACATAACATAATCAGGACATAAACACTAATATCACATAAATCGACCCTGAATATTCATTGGAAAGACTGATGTTGGAGCTGAAGTTCCAATACTTTGGCCACCTGATGCGAAGAGCCCACTCATTGGAAAAGACCCTGATGCTGGGAAAGATTGAGGGCAGGAGAAGGGGGCAACAGAGGATGAGATGATTGGATGGCATCACCGACTCAATGGACATGAGTCTGAGCAAATTTCGGGAGATGGTGAAAGACAGGGAAGCCTGGTGCTGCAGTCCGTGGGGTCATAGAGTTGGACAGACAGCGACTGGACAGCCATAACATAGTAAGGTCATAACTTTATTGGAATCTCACGTAATGTCCTTTTTCTGTTCCAGGACCCCACATGGCATTTAGTTGTTGGGTCTGCTTAATTCTCTGATAGTCTGTGGCAGTTCCTCATTCTTTTCTTATTTTTCATGACCTTGACACTTATGATGAGTACTGGTCATGTGTTCTGTAGAATGTCATCAGTTTGGATTTGTCTGATGTTTTCTCATGGATCAAGGTTAGCTTTTTGACAAGACTGTCACAGAAGTGATGTAGTGTCCTTCTCAGTATATCTTATTAAGGAGTACATGATGTTAATGTGTCTTTAACATTCTTTTTTTAATTCTCATTTTTGGCTTTGCTGGGTCTTGGTTGCTGTGCACAGGCTCTCTCTAGTTGCGGTGAGTGGGGGTTACTCTCTGATTCTAAGTGCTCAGGCTTCTCGTTGCTGTGGTTTCTCTTGTTGTGGAGCACGGGCTAATGGTGTTAAAATGGAATGAAAAGGTGTCAGGGTAAACTATGTTTATCTATACACATATTAAAAATTGGGCTTCCCAGGTGGTGCTAGTGGTAGAGAACCCGTCTGCCAATCCAGGAGACATTACAAGTGTGGGTTCAGTCCCTGGGTTGAGAAGATCCCCTGGAGGAGGGCATGGCAACCCACTCCAGTATTCTTGCCCGGAAAATCCCATGGACAGGGGAGCCTGGCGGGCTACAGTCCATGGGATCACAGAGTTGGTCACGACTGAAGCAACTTTAGCAGCAGTGCTGTAGCAGCAGCATGTTAAAAATTAGTTAACCCTGACAGCTTTCATTCCATTTTAGCACCTTAAGTCCATTCTAGTCTTCCCCATTTCCTTAGTTGTAACTTCTTTCTCCACTAGTGTAATTGGTTTTCGTTTTTCTTTGGGCCATACTACACAGCTTGTGAAATGTTACTTCCCTGACCAGGGATCAAACCCCAGGGCCCTTGGCTGTGAAAGTGTGGAGTCCTAACCACTGGACCACCAGGGAATTCCCTGTAGTTTGTTTTCCATGCTGCCTAATAAGTTACCACAAATTCAGTGGCTGAGAACACCACCTATTTTATTTCAGCTTCTGTAGGTCAGAAGGGTCTACCTCTGTGCTCTCCCGGGCTGTTGGCAGATTGATTTCTTTGTGACTGTTGAATTCCTAGCAGCTTATTTTTCAGATCCAGCAATGGAAGGAGATTTTCTACTGCTTCAAGCCCATGACCTCTAGACTCTCCATCAGAGGGCTTGCCTGATTGTTCAGTCCATCCAGGGGACTCTTTTGATCTTAAAATCAACCGATTAGGGACTTTATTACATCTACGAAGTCCCTTCACCTTTGCCGTATTCTGTTGGTTAGAAGCCTTCACTGAAGGAAGGGAAGGGATTACAGAAGCTGTGACCTTGCTCAGGGTCACCTTAGTGTGTGTCTGGGTCATGGGGTATGAAACTGGCTCTCATTATCCACCATATATTCCGTTCATATGTTCAGTCCTAATATACACACAAAATGACAGAATTGCTGATACCTTTGTGAGCAGCAGATGACTACTTGGCTAATTTGACTACAGTTCTTTTCATCTTAGCCTTATATTAATGGTAACCATTCAAAATGGTAATTTCCAGTTACTTAACCACACTTTCAGTGTGGTTATAGTCTCATTTGTAATAGGTCCAATTGTAATTGGTTCCAATTGAGATTCCTCCTTCACACACTCTGGTTGATTTCCATCTTTTATTTTGTGGGGGTGCTGGAAGCATTACTATGGTTTCTAAAAGCCAAAACTATACAAAAGGGACACTCAAGAGACATGTTGCTCTGTCCTCATCCCAAGGAACCTGTCCCAGTTCCTCTCTTCAGCTTTCTTACCTGCCCTCTGCAGGTTTAATAACTTCCCTGGTGGTTCAGACAGTAAGGAGTCTGCCTGCGATGCAGGAGACCCAGGTCTGATCCCTGGGTCGGAAAGATCCCCTGGAGAAGGAAATGGCAACCCACTCCTGTATTCTTGCCTGGAGAATCCCATGGACAGAGGAGCCTGGGGGGCTGCAGTCCATGGGGTCACAAAGGGTCAGACACAACTGAGCGGCTTCATGTTCTTTCTAAAGGTTTAGCTGCTGGTTTATTCTTCCTGTATTTTGTACAAATGAGCAGATACGTGTATTTTCTTATATTCCCTTCTTTCTTGCATGGAGGGTATCTTACTTTAAATACTCTTTTGCACTTTGCTTTTTTTCCACTTCAGAGCCTCAGAAATCACTCCTTATCAGTTCATAGAGTTGATCTCATTTCTTAAAACCAATGAGCATTGACCTCCACTATGCAATGTACCACAATATTTTCAACTCTTCTCCTATGTGTAAACATTTAGGTTGTTCCTAGCATTTTACAGACAGTGCTGCAGTGGGTCGTGTTTCGTTCAGTTTCATTCTTTCTGCCTGAGTTAGTTCATTGTCTTGGGTGTCGTAGTGTGCTTCGTTTTTTCATTGCTCTTTTTCTTTGCGTTGTCGTTTCTTGGTTGCCTGCGTTCGTTTCTTTTTGGTGGTGGCCCCTGAGGTTTGCGGCTCCGTTTGTTGTCCCTTACCCTCGTCAGCGGGGCGTGGGGCGTCTGACTGCTCGGGGTCCGTCCCGCTGCCTGTCTTGGGTAGTCTTTTTGTGTTTTTGCTTTGCGTTGCCTTCTGTTGCTTCCCTTCTTTTTCTTTTTGTGGTCATGGGTGTCCTCATTGTTTTTTTTTTATTTGTGTGTTTTAAGTTATGTGCAGTGTGTATTTTGCAGTTGGTTTCCGTTCTGGTTTGTGCCTGTTCCTGTTTGGTCCTTTCCCCTGGGGGTTTTTCTTTTTTGTTGTTCTTTGCATGTTCTGGGTGTTGTTGTCTTGTTTAGATTCGGGTGCCCGTGTGCTTGGTTTGTGTGGGGGTGGGTTGGTCATTTTCCTGTTTGCTTAGATGGTTCCGTCTTTGGCTGTAATGTTTGTGTCTTTTTTTTTGTGCCTGGGTTGGGCCGCTCGCCTTTTGGTGGGGTGTTGCTTCTTACTGTTGTGTTCTTTTCTTTGCTACTTTCTTGGCTAGAGGCGGTTGGTGTGCTGTGTTCCTTTTGGTGGCAGGGTTGTCGGCGTGTGTTGCTCTTGTGTTTTGGAGTTGTTGGTTCTACTTCTTTGGGCCTTGTTGTTTCTTTGGTTTATGGTCGAAGGTCGTGCGTGTTTTTGAGTTTGTCTGCACATTTGCCACCATAATTCAGTCTGAGGTTGGTATTTTTTTTTTCTTGCTTTGCTTACTTTTGATTGTGTGTGTATTTTTTTTGCTGGGGATTTTTGCCTATTTTTTCCAGTCTTGCTTGCACACGGCTGTGCAGCGTTCTTTTACCTTTTGTCTTTGTTTTTTTGCATAGATTGGGTTGAGGGTCTTTCTTTTTGCTGTTATGCTTCCTATCTTTATGTTCCGGTTTTTGGTTATTGTTTTTGGTTTAGAATTTTTCATCCATTCTTTTGTGGAGGTTTTTAATGGTTCGTTTTGAATATCTGTTTTGGACACGTAAAACTGACTCTCATTCCCTTTAGCGTATTAGCAGGGTTTGTTTCGTGTCTGCTTTTTTCTTTGTTGTTGTCCTGTTTTTCTTTTTGTTTTTGGCTTTTTTGCAGTTTGTGTCCCTTGGACTGCAGGGTGATGTTCCCATGAGGCGTTTTGTTGTGGGTGTTCTTTGGTAGGCCTGTTTTTTGGGTTGTACCTGTAATATTTTGGGGCCCTTGTGCGGATGTGTGCCTTATTTGTTCAGCTCTTGCTGCTTGGACCTTTTGCGTGCGGGATGTTTGTGGGCTGGCAGTGTTTGCGTTGGCCTTCGGGTGTCTTCACCCCTTGACTTGTCTTGAGTTTGTTTGGAGTCTGTGTTTTGGTGACCGGTTTGGGGGCCTTGCGTGTTGTGGTTCATGGTGTGTGAATGCGTTTGACCTGTTTGTGTTCCTGCCCTGTTTGTTTGGTTAGGTCTTTTTTTTTTCGTTTTTAAGTCTTTTTTCTGTTGAGATCACTGACTTTTTTTTTTTTGAAGGTAAAGGACATTTTATTTATTGACAGATTAAAAACCGTAACTCCAGGTAGTGCAAAATACACCACTGAACCCAATTACAAAGAACTGGTGTTAATATATAATGTTTAAGCAATGCTACACTTATTTTTTGGCAAAGTGCTGTATTGTTTAGTCTGTGTATAAAACTGACCATCTATGAACCAATCAGTACAAAAATTTTCTATAAAAACAAACAAAAAAATTTAGACAGTGGCTCAAGAAAACAAGCTGCCATTTATGCATAGATTGATGTACAGTATATAACCTAACCAAATGTCCCTTTTAAGTTTTCAAGTTGTTGGAAAAAAAAAAACACAAAAAAACTGTCCAGAAACACACCAGGAAGGCACAGAGTACAGCCTACAACACTCTTCAGTCTCTAGGACTGACGCCCTGCCCTTGAAAAGCAAATGTGTTCACAATTTTACTTGAGGGGAAAAAACAAACCAAAACCAAAGCCACTTAAAATAAAATAATACACACAATTACTGATTAAGATTTCCAAACCTTTGGAGGAAAACACAACCAAAAAGCAAGCAAAACCACTCACACACACCAAGCTTGCAAACAAACACACCTAACCTCCCCAAACACTGGTTTGGTTAGAAGTCAACCTAGAAAACAAATACTAAAACTTCAGGCAAATATAGAGAAAAATTGGGCATTTAGCAATTACACAATTTTAAAAATATTTTAAGAAAAATTGTCAATGACACACAAAACATTATCCACTTAAGCTGCCTTCCTTGGAATAGTAACTTCTCCTCCCACATAAAGGATACTGTTGCAAACAGGAAAAGATATCCTTATCTGTATGCTTTCCAGGACTGCCTTCTCCACCCCAGACCACTGCAATTGGTGTCAAATTTCAAGTGAAATTGGTACATGGCAAGGCTGACACCACTATATTATGTAAGTTTTCTAAATAAAGCATTTTATATAAAACTTTAAGCATTAAAATAAGTAGATAAGGATGCCATTTATAATAATACATCAACAGGGCCGATGGCACTGAAACCATCCATGATAGTGGCCCAACTCTTTAAAGAATTTAACCAGTATGTATGGGACTTATAAAATAAAAAGATAATTTTAAGGTAACATTACAAACATATGCTAGTATCTCCAGTACAAGGAGCAGTCTCTTAACTGATTCTAAAAACAAAAACTAATAATTGGAAACTCTTAAACTTTTTCCACTAAGCTATTTAAATTTAAATGTCTATCTTCTAGAGTCCTTTTTTGTTTTGTTTCCAACTCAAAGAAACTGAGAAAAAGAAAGATATCCTTCTTTACTCTTTTTTCTTAAGAGTATATAAGACAACATATTTCTTTGAGGGAGAAATAGCAAAGACACTCAGATTCAATGAAGACACAAAGATTACAAACCAGTGTACTACACAGATTTGAGAAGCAAAAACATTAGGCAATGCTGAATGGCCCTCTCAAGTTTTAAGTAAACTGTAATCTCACTAGAATCAAAGTACTGACACAACAGAGAAGGTGTGTAAACAGAAACGGTTTGCATGGGAACTGGGAAAAAACGCACAGGAAATCAATGTAGAAAAGCTCCCTGCAGCAGCGACTAATAAACCCAATGACTCTGCACCTTCTGCAAACAATTCCCACCCTCCCCGCAACCCAGCCACACAAAGCCCCACAGAAGATGAATAACGGGTGGTTAACCTTCAACTTACGGTGCAGTACATCATCAAATCATTTGAGGAAGAAAAGTAATAAACATAAGACATACATCATAAAATGTTCTAAAAATGAAAAACACAAACTTTGAGAAACATGGTGCATTATAAAAACTAAGAAACTCATTCATGAAGCACTGTTGTGTGCACCACATATTCCAGACTTTTTCCAAGTAACATGCTATATTATCAGTTTAGAACCAGAGCGCTAAATTCAAAAGGGTCTTATTTATTTCTCACCGCTGGAATTTTTAAGAAATACGCACTAAAGCACACTGTAAACCATTTATATTTACAACAGCAAAAATAATTAACTTATAATAAGCTGCATTTCAGCCCTATTTCAAAGAATACTTAACAGGTCAATAGCACTCTGTTATTATTGGTCTTGTGAACCTGCACACAGTCAATCCCTAACAAACACGTGATGACCAAGAACTTCCTTAGGTGACCACTTTCTTCAGTTCTTACATGGGCCAGTTTTAGACAGAAGCCTTAAGACACTGATGCAGAAACCACAGTATGATGTGGTACCACAGATGTGTGGTAGGCCTTACCCTGAAAAAACACTGAAAAGACTGAAGTCAATTGTTTTCCAGGTACAAAGCATAAAAAACCTGGCCCAAATAAGGCAAACAAAAAGTCAGTAACTGATAGAGATGTAAATGTATTTAAGGTATCAGGAAATCTGAAAAAATAATAGTTAAAAAAAAAACCACTGCAGTTTTATATACAAATCTGTTCATGCTGCCAAACAAATTCTCATGGCTAAACTTCTGGAGCTCATGAGGTACTAACAGCTTACATTTAGTATGTGAAAAAAGGAGACCCCCATGTATTCAGAGGCTTACACCTATGCTCAAGTTAGCAACATACGGCCCTTTAACAGTCATTGCATAAAACATACACACTTTCATGAACACTCTATCTCCCAATGCTGGTAAACACAAATAGTAACAAAACAACTTCTAGCTCAGTTTGACAAAACTTAACAGACTTGGCCCCTAATGAGGAAAACAAATAAATAAAGGGGTAGTCAAAACGGAAGGGGACTAAGGTGAGGAGGAGGATCTAGACCCTTGTTCTGGAGAGAGATTCCTGGCCCTTCAGCATAGCCAGTGGTGGAAGAACAGCCTACCACCATCATCTAACTAAGCTATGTCACCTCTCCCGACTTCACACATCCCAGTCTGGTCAGAATTCACTGCAAAGTCTCCCATGGTTCCCTGCACCCAGCTGCTACAGGGCTGCTGAAGAATAAAACAATACTTCACATAACTATATGCTGCTTTTTCCTTGACAACACTGTCTAGTCGTGTACTCAATTAGGATTGCAGAGGAGACTGGAAAAATAAGCTATTTGATTATGGAGGTGATAGTATTACTGCTCTGTCAGTAGAATGTGCTTTGGGTTGTAAATGTGTTCAACTTAATTTCAGAGGAAACTGGTCAGAGTGCAGATGGCTCAGCAAAACCCATCCCAACTGCGAAAAAATAAAGTGACTAAAGGTAAAGAAATAGGTTTTCTCTGCGTTCGCTGAGCTAACTGGCCTCAGTGTGACTCAAACCCTGCACCCTGGCCTCACAATTACCAACACTCTGAAGAGGAGTTATGGCCGAAAGGCTGCCCCGGCCTGCCCCTGCACTAGACTCGGCAGAGGGGCCCTTGGAATTTCACACAAGGATCAGTTCAGGACAGCCCCACTTCAAATCAGTACACGGTCCTCACGGCTGGGAGGGAGGTGTGTGGTACCTCCTGGTGGAGGTACCAAAGGCCAAAGTGGTTAAGGAATTTGCCTGAAGCCCAAGTTAAATATATATATAAACTCAAGGAAAAACTCAACCTGTCACTCTTCATTTAGATGCTATGAATAGATGTCACCAGGAATTCCCTTCACAACTGCTTGCCAGCTGGCGGAACAGACTCTATAGCAGAGGATCTACCACTGCATCAGAAATGCAAAGCCTATCCCTCTTCCCCTGGGCAGATATAAATGGGGAGCCACTAGAGTGCCAGACACGCACTTCTGAACTTACAGCTGACGTGAGGTGGCAAGCAGGCAGAGCTGGCAGGAAAGAACCCAGACAAACATGACTTACAGATACACATTTCCCCAAATACAATTTCACAGGTCGAATTTAATCCCTCTGCACGTGAGACGGGCACTGTTGTCCCACGATGCCGTAATGTCTGTACCACATTACACAGTCACATCGGAATTATTGAATGCACTGTTCACTAACACTTAATGTACCTGAATTCCAAAATGAACTGCATGGCTAATCTGGGAAATAAAAACCCCATACACACAGAAATATATCAAGTTTTCTTCCAAGAGAAAGTTCAGCCATAATTCCATTATATCTGTGGCAACCACATCACCTGTTAATGCTCATGTTAGTGTGTAAAAATGTATTCATTATATACAGAAAAAGATTATCAAGTACTGGTCAATAAAGTGTATGGCTGACCCTGAGAATAAATTTCTGCTTACTCAAAAGACTGATTAATACCCAATAAAATGAAATTGAAAGATGCCTACTCTCGTACTTGGGAAGAAACATCTTTAAATTGCTAACTCATGTACACCTTAATAGATTTAAAGACCTTCCCATACACTAACTGTATTGATATGTTTCCAAAAATATTCTGAAAAAATTTTTACAAAAAAGCAAATGTTAAGAGCAAGGCATTACGTGATACACAGCATATAAATCTGGTTTTCAAGATAGTGTCTAAACACATGGATAAAACTATGTGATTGGTCATCTGTTGGCTGTAAAGAGACAGCATCTTCACCGTCCATACATGCACATGGGCCACACATATGCACAAACTACGAGAAGCCAACCAGACACGCTTCAGATTCTTAGTAATTGTACTGACGTGGGCAGGGCTGATGGACAGCCCAGCCGCTGTGCTTGACTTGCCGAGAGTGGCAATCTCTGGTAAGATTTTGGCGACGAAGGCTATTTCTGTTCAGAGACTGTCTTTCACTGTGTTCTTTAATCCACTGCGAAGGGCGAAAGCTCTTGGGTTGTTCCAGAAAAGCTGTATGAGCAGCGAGAGCTGCAACATAGCAATGAATATGCTGCCCCATCTCATTCTCAGCTTCCACTCTGCAACAGAAAAAACCGGGGATGTATCACATCACACAGGACGTTATGGAGGAAACTGAAGGAGCTGCTTGGCAATTCAGCTTGCCACACTGACTTGTCTATGGCTGACCGAGCGCTCAGGGTCTCAGGGCCGCCAGACAAGTTCTGACTTTGTGAGCACATTGACTCAGAATGGCAGACAGAGGCAGCCAGCTCTCACTGAAGTACGTGACAGAATCCACCCACAGGTGGTAAGCTGAGTGGACTGTAGTTTAAAAAAAAGTGCTTTACACTTTGAGTGAATTTCAGTTACACACCAAACACATTTACACATGTATTTTGACTCTCACTATAACCTTAAAAGAAAACTATTTTAATTCCTAAATTTTACTAATCAGAAAACTCAGGCTCAGAGAGGTTAACGTCACAATCATTAACTAACTCAATCAAGAATGTAACAAAAAGTCACACTCCAAGGTTTGATTATGAGGCAGGGTTGATACTGATGCACTGTGCCAACAGCAGCTTCACAGACTTTATCTGTCTATAAGCAAAATGTTCTAGGAAAACAAGGCTTAAGTCTGAATTTAACAGAAATATGGAAATAAGGAAATTCTCATCTAAAATTTGTCTTGGTAAGATATCTGCTTATTACAAAACATAACTCTTAAGTTTTAAATTTATATCACAACAGGCACATTTTGGAATGGCATTTGCAGAGCAATGTTATAAAGACCCTTGGAGAACACATAATCTTAATATATGGCTACAAACCATGTAATTACTATATATTTTCTGTATTAAAAGCTAATCAGATAGTTCTAAACTACATTAACACGTAATGAAGTTCAACTTTAAGATTTTTAAGGGTTATTTTACACAGGAAGGCAGTTATATATTCTGCCTAAAACTGCTAGAGGAAAACACAGTTATATTTTTAATATATTATTTTTATTAAATAGTGGAATTAAAGCAGGTCACATTAAGAAACTAATAGAAAGCAGTTAAAACAAAACAAAGACAGTGGTTTTTAAAAGCTGGATGCCTTGAATCCTTTGCCTTCCTGCTCAGACTGATAACACATATCACACAGTCTCAAATGAAATATACTTACTCTGTGCCAGTGAGTCTTATAAGCAGCTTTTCCTGGCCCTACAAATGTTAAATGGTGAACTATTAAATCACTAGTAAAGTTGAAAATGCTATTTAATTTTACTATTAGGATGTGGTCAACTTTTCTTTATTAAAACTGGGTTACTATGGGTCATTAAAGGAACATGTAGTACTTAAGATTATGATAGCACATAAACCTTCACATACAATATTTTATAAAGGCTAAAATGCAATAAAGTACATACTCTGAAGCCTATCTTTAACTGTTAAGCACCTTACTTTTATGTACTTTATGGTAATCTCTACAAGGATACACAGGATGAAAACAATCTTAACTTTCGAAAAGCATATGATTTACTTCTTGCTCAGAAAATACAGATTTTTACTACATAGCCATCTTCCTAATTTTGGTGACATCTGATTTCTATCTTGATTTACTGGGCCTTTCTTATAAGAATTTAAAATCCAAATATAAAAGTGTTAAAATTTTTTAGTTATTATAAAACTATAATAATTTACAGTACTTTCTTATGTTCAGCAAGAATTCATATAAAATTAGGTGTGTCCATTTGATCCTTTATTTATAATTAACTACCCTAAGTGTTATATCAAAACATATAACAAGATACAGTGACAAGATATAAAAAATGAACATTCTCACTGCATCAAAACTGCAAACACTTAACCAGGTTCAATGCAAGGTCCTGAACTGGTTCCTGGTTTGAACAAACTAGATGAAATATTCTGGGCTTTAGTGGGCAAATCTGAGTATGGTTTATATAGTTCACAAAGTAAAATTTTACTGGGAAAAAAAAAAAGTAGAGATCATTGCCTAAGAAAGCAGATTATAAAACAGTACCTATAGCTTGATCTCATTTAGGTTAAAAATGGTGTTATATATCCATGCACGGGCACATCCAGAAAATACCACCCGGAAGGATATGCCCTAGAATCTTGACAGTATTCATCTCTCAGTAGTGAGAAAAATGTCATTTAAAATTTAAAAATTTTTGCCCTTTCTAATTTTCTGCAGTGCATATGTACTGCTTCTATTATCTATGAAGCTGCTAAATATACATATGTAAATACACATACTTTAAATATTGAAAACATAAGTATACAAATGCTAGTAATTAATCACACTAAATTCTCGAGTGGAACTCCTCAGAGATGAGATCAAAATAAGGTGAGAAGAATTTCTAAGAACTGAAGAAATTAATCTGAATCAACTGCTAAGCAATTAAATAAATTAATTAAACCACCTCAAAGAATTGTATTTTAAACTTCTGTTGGAATGCCTGAAACATTAACCTCTTGATAAATTTATAATACGGAATAAAGTGCCAGTCAAAGATCAAAGATCCTACCTAATACAAAGCTTGGGTAACTATATAAGCAAATGTTTTGCAGTCTGGCACAAGCGTATATTTATCTTCATTCAAGAACACCTACAATATTGAAAGTGCAGCAAACTCTGGTAAAGATGTCAGATTAATGAGCTGCCTGGGCTTTGTTTATATTTGGCAAACAGGAAATAGAAGGAGATACACATACAGTGGCCTGGTTAGTAGTCAGAGCCTGGACAACTGAAAAAGAGGCCCTCGGGGTGACTGCACTGAACCACAGAACACTGTGAGCTGCTCCAAAATCCAGTTCACCTGTCCCCTTGACAGGTATGAAGGGAATTAAGTCAGTGCCAGTATCCTACCAACAGCTTAATACTAGAGGGGACCTCCCACCAACATGCATCACAGACCAGCTGGACTTTGAGCCACTGAATGCAGCCACCGGCTTTGTTTTAGTGGGTGGGAACCATCTTGAATGTAGTCCCTGGATAAAGGCCAGACTGTGAGTTTGTTCTGGAATGGATTACTGACCAGACACTCTCCCTGAACCATTCCAGACACTCAACCCATCCACCATCCAAGCAGAGCCTTTCAGACCACTTGGGGCACCCATTTAACCACAAAACAGTATTTGGATGTGAAAGCTTCCCCCTGCAAGGCAGAAAAGAACTCTGAGCAAAATGCTTTGCTAAATCTGCCATTTTCTTTACCTCATGCTTCAGATTCCTCAGGTTTTCAAGGCTAAGCACCATTTGATGTGACCTAGTTAGGACTACTTCGAAGATCACGAGATTTATTCTAAGATATACCATTCCTGTCAAATTTGATACCCCAAATAATCCAGACTATAAAGTGCCAGAGTTATATTCTAAGATACTTAGCAGAAATGCCAGTCTTTTCTTTCCATTCAGTAGCAGAATATTACAAACGAGACAGCTCTCCATTACATAATGGGCCATGCCAGAACTAATATTTTGAAAATCTCAAATGAGTTCATCTTTTCATACCATCACCCGCCTTATGCACTAGGCACATACTTTCACGAACATAGGTGGAGACAGTAACGTACCTGGGACTGCCTGGGTTATGGAATTCCTCAGTCCCACAGTGGGCCTCACCGAGACTGGGGCAGGGGTCATGCACAGCATAGACGGACATGCTGGGGTGTTCGATGAGAAGGTTTTCCATAGGACTGGTTTCCACCTTGATAGTGGTTAATCCACCTGCAGTAAAACATGGGGGAGGGGTGATAAACCAGCTCTCCTCCATTGGACAGGACTCAAACTGGAGGAAGCAGGAGTCACTCGTATCAGCCAAGCACTCGAGAGACGCAGGGAGACAGGAAAAGACTGAAGGGTGCTCGGGAGGTGACTCTTCACTGATGTCATCTTCTTCCTCATCCTCTGCTGCTGAGAAACCCGTGCAAGTGTCTAGATGGTAGTCCACACACGTTGTTGAAGTCCCGCGGGGTATGAGTAACACATTGAGATCACATCAGAGCACAGAAAAAGAAGAGATGATGCTGTTAGCTGATGCTCACAGTCCTCCCTTTATTTAGATCAGACACAAAACCATTCATATTCACTCACAATGATCGTAAAATAACTTCTGAGCACCTAGTGTGTGCGTGTTAGGGGGCGGTGTGTATCATTGTATGGGATGGATTATGTTGGTTTGGCAGAACAGTCTTTAAGATTGGTTTCTCTTCTGCTGCACAGACACATAATACACCAAATGGGTCATTGCTTGTCGAGGATGTGCCTCTAACTGGATCAGGGTATAAGAGCTGCCACACTGGAGAGGCTGACATCAGTTTCACTGACCTGATCATCTGGCACAGAATGCTTCCTGCAATTTTTTTAGACAAATTCTTGTTTATTTACTTTTAAGGCTTAAAAACCTTCAGAATTATTGGTTTACTTATGCAAAAACTCAATAAAAGAGTTTCCACTTTTGCTGTGATGATTAACGGCTATACCCTTACCTATGAAGTCAACAAGAATCCACTCATCATCTTCCTTCTCACTAAATTCTGGTTCTTGGTTTGAAGAAGTATTGACTTCACCCACAAACATTTTATTCAATCTCTGAAACATTGTTAAGGCAAGACTGAGACTTTGGCTGGATGTCTTTGTAGCTGAAATTTCCAAAACCTGTCTTCGGTCAGCCTGATGCCACTGACAGGGGATTAAAGTGCACAAGGTGCTTATTCAACTTAGGCGAGAAGCAGGAATCATTATCCCTAAAATAAAACAGAAAAAAAGGTTATTTCAAATCAGCACATATTTATATAATGTGTACATCTGCTCAGCCCTAGAGAAAAGCACAGGCCTTAGCCTACAGCTTGGCTCTTCCCTTCTTTCAAACACAAGGATGCAAAATCTCTCTTTTTTTTTTAAATCTCTTTTTTACAAACATATAATCAAGTACTCAAATGCAACCTGTAAATATCTCAAAATGCACAATGGAAGGGGTTAGTTCTCTTTCACCTCTGTGCTTTTATAGTAAGGGATATAAAATATCATCCCTGGGTAACATATTTCAACTGAAATACTACTTTTCTGTAAGTCGAGCTAGGTTTTCATGGTCAGCTGGTCAGAAGCTGTCCACTGAGCCCAGCACTCGTGCCAGCTACGTGTCCACTGCCGCGCCAAGCCCTCAGCTTCCCCAGCACCTTTTCTCTCCTGCTCTGTTCCTGTGTATGATTGTAAGCACACCTCATTCCATTAAAATCTGTAACTACAGCACACCTTGACCTTCAAAACCATTCCCACAGCTGGTGTGGAAAAAGTCACACTGTAGAGAACTCGGGAGGCCCAGCAACCAGAACCGAAAAGGACCACTGTGCCTGTTCAAAGGTGGCTTGTCTCCCACCAGGGTGAGGAAGTCACACTATTCCAAGGGTTCTACCCCATGGAGTTCTGGTGAGTTCTAACGAGGAACTCCAGCCGCGCCAGATCTTATTCCAGAGTTCCAGATTTATATACCCATTTCTGCCTGGTTACCTGCTGGGCAGACCAAACCTCACAAGTTGCAAGATCTTTTAATTTCCCCCCACAAACATACGCAGGCTCACTGCCATCCGCCCCTCTTCTCAGGAAAGAGAGGCAGCAGTTATTCAGGCCAAACACTCAGCCCTCACCCTGGACTCCCTTTCATCCTCACCCCCGCACCCCTCACCCAAACTGCACACACGGCTGGAATCCGCCTACTTCTCTCCACCACTCTCACCCTGGTTGAAGCCAACTGGTTTGACTTTGCCAATCACCACCTCCTAGATGGCTCCCCGATCCTACTCTTGTCCAATGAGACAGTGCAGGCAACCTACTTAGCAAGGCACTTGGTACAGAGTTCTCAGTCAGCGTCAACTATCATTCTGAAAATATTTGCTGAGCACCTATTATGCATCAGGCCTAGTGCTCAGGGCAGGAGAGACAGCAGCGGACAAGGCCCTCCCACGGCCCACCAACCCAGTGTGATGAGTGTCACGTGAGGAGAAGTACTGAGGGTTCCTCAAATCCCAGACAGGGGTCACAGAAGGACACCTGCAATCATGACCTTAATCGTGAATGGCTGAGCTCAAGAACGGATGAAGGAGAAAGAATGCCACGGAAACGTGCAGATGAGTGAGAATCTGGATCACTTCCATTTGGCTCAAGATCCAGGCAGACAGTCTTGACAGCAGGCTTAGGGGCTATGTGGGGACTGGATCCTGCAGGGTGTTGTGTGCCAGAAGTGAAGGGGAGGGAAAAAGTCAAGGATGCCCTAGGTTTTAGTTCAGTGGAAGAGGAACAGAGCAGAGGGGTAGGCCATATGCTCTGGACACGAGGAACCAGGGAAGTTGATGAGTCCTGGGGATGTCTGCAAGGAGCTGGATCTAGGGCTTTGCAGTCCAAGAGCATGGTGTCTGCTGAGGGCACAGATCTGGGAGTTACCAACACAAAGCGGGTGACAGGAACCATAAGCACCATAAGAGTAGGTGAGATCACACAGGGAGCGTCAGCCCTGAATCCCTAACTTCAGACTCTGGATATTTCACTTTCAAAACAATCATCCTTAGCTATAAATGATGTGGTTCAAATCTGTTGGTGATGAGACTCCTGGTTCAATTCTTTATGTGTTCTCTGGACTGCTACGACTGTTTGGCAGGCTACTACTCATGTAGTACTACAAGTATGTGTTTAAATAAATGACATTGGTATACTTCTGTGGTCACAATCTGTCATCCTCAGCCATCAATTATGAAAAACGGGTAAATAGGAAGTGTCACTTGCATAACCAGTCTCCCTAAAACCCTTCTGGAAAGCAGTCTGGCCAATCATGTAGTCTAGAGCTGGAGGATGAGAACTCAAAGTGAACCTTATGCTGCATGTAACAGAATTGACAAGAGAAGTGGGCTGTGTAGTTGGCTAGACTTGATTATCCCAAAAGAGGAGCTATCCCAGGGCTGATGTGTACGTAAAAGTTTTGAGCATATGAGCTAGGAGGGAGAAAGGATACTTTAATCTTTCCCCCATTTCTCTTAAATTATTGGCCCCAAGTACAGTTCTGTATTTGCTGACCTAGTTGGATGAATTCTCCCGAGTGCCCAGCTGGACTCGCGAGAGCCGCTGGGTGGGGAGGGAACACCCCACGGGAACCCTAGCTCGTTCTGAATATGCCCCTATCCCCCAACTGTGGTGCCACATGCGGTCAGTCACTGAGGCCCAGGCCAGTTAAGTGGCAGCTCCAAGGCAGAAATCATGCTGGGGCCACTGTGCTTGGGCAGCTGCAGGTTCCAAACTGCCCCCTCTGGCTGTGCCCTGTTCTGTAATGTGGAAGCCAGCCTAGGCCTGGAGGACACACGGCTCTGCCAGGGGAAGGGCGTCTCTGGAGGAGCTTCCCCCAGGACTGCACGAGTCAAGCCTCTTTTGGTTTCCTAAAGTGAGGTTGGCCTGACTTTGCCAAGTTCCTCCAGCCCCGCGTTCTGTAGCTGTCACAAAGGACAAGGAGCTGCTGGAGAGACCCCAGTACACTGACACTGTTCAGTGAGATGGCCTCTGGGCACATCAGGTGAACGATTATTTGAACTGCAATTAGATTGAAAAACTACAAAAAAAAAAAAAAATTCTTTTGCCCATCACACGGCATGTGGGATCTGAGGGATCTTAGATCCCCGACCAGGATTCGAACTCATGCTCCCTGCAGTGGAAGCTCAGAGTCTTAACCACTGGACCGTCAGGGAATTCCCTGAGAAACTAAATTTTTAATCTTATTTAATTTGGGATATAGTAGGTTAAATAAAATATATTAACAAAATTAATTTCACCTGTTTCTTTTTCCTTATTTAAGGTGGCTACTTAAAAATCCAAACCTCCATACACAGCCCACACTGTATATTACTATTGGACAATGCTGTTCTAATGTCTTGATGGCCTATCTTCCCATTGACCCAGACTGTCCCTACCAGGTCACTGCTGCTCTTCACCTTGGCTTCGGCCCAAGAACGGAGGCTCTCCCTGGGGCTGGTCCTCTGGAGCTAAAAGGGAAAGCAGGGCTTCAGACTGCACTCCTCAGCAGGTCACAGACTTTTTGACAGTCACAACTCTAGGATAAAGATAAAACTAAGGTGAAAATTCCAGAGAAGGCCAGTGTCCTAAGAGGACAATTTACAAACACAGCTCTGGAATTTAGCCAAGAGGTAGAGGAATGAAGGCAAGGCGGGAGGCACTGCTGTTGTCCCCGGCACCTGCCGGCCTGGCAGTCTCACCCTGATGGAGAAAAGAAACAAAGTGTCTGCCCCAGCACTTCAAGGGGGCAGCTTTGGCCTCATCCGCTTGGCTCGAAATACCTCCATTCCCTCCCTTCATTATAAAATGAACCAAGCCACATTACAGAAAGTTGAGAAAATAAATAAGGAAACTGTTACTCCATACTTTGTTGCAATCATTGTTAGTACATTGTGCATTTTCTTCTACCAATAGTTTCTTTTTTATCACAACTGTAGGCCAATGCATGCCCAATTTTGTATCCTGCTTTGTTACTTAACATTTTGTTATCAATATTTTTCATATTACATGAGTAGAAATGCTCTGTGAGCAGAGAAAGGTGGTTGAGTTTAATACTCACGGGGTAAAGCATTCTAGTTTGAGAACTTAGAAAAGGAGTTACTAGGTTGGGAAAAGTTTGTTGGTATGATTTATTTTCTCATTTTTGAGACAGGCAACCAACCTTGAGGCCACATGGCTCTGGAGTTAGCCTGCTCAGTTCGAATTCTTGACTCTGCTCCTCAGAACTTGTGTGTATTCAGGATCTATATAGTAACTTCTCAGTGCCTCACTTTTCTCATCCCTAAAATGGGGAGATAGGGCCAACAGGAGGAATAAGTGTGTATCACTTAGAAGCAGGCACACAGCAGGTACCCGGTAAATATTAACCACAAGTTCACTTCAAACCAGAGCAAGTCACTTAGCATCTTTGGGTCTGAGTGTCTTTATTGGCAAAATGTTCATAAAGTCATCAGAGCTGCAATTTACTCAATGTTTATTGTATGCGACAGACTTGAGGTACTTATTTGTCTCATTTGATTAATAAGGAAACTGAGGCTCAGAAATTAACTTGCTCAAAAGTGACAGAGCTAATCAGGGGTGGGGCCCACGTTAGAGCAGAAGTCTATCTGGTTCCCAGGACCCTGTGCTTTTGCCCCCCACCCCCAGCATGGGATGTCTCAGGTTCCTTCCAGCCTCAACTCTGGCTCTCTGAACTTTGGAGAACAGCACTTTTCAGTTGGTTTTGGCTGCCAGTAGGCGGCTCCAAAAACATTTTAAATTAAAAAAAAAAAAAATCCCACAACTTTGATGATTTAACTCTTAACTATGTGTACAGTTGTGGCTTCTTGACAGTTTCGAAATATCAGGTGGCCAAACTAACACATCATCATCAAAAAGCAGCTCAAGATGATCTCTTTATCCCACCCTCTCTCACTAGTTTAGAAGAATAAATGTGCTGACTCAAGTAATTTTACATCAATTTTAAACGGTAGAAAAACCAAGCCATGAAAGTTGTCTTGCTTGTTCCACTCTATCCAGCCTACTCAGCCGGCTACAAGGAGGCTATTCTCCCCAGGATCCACCAGGTTGGCTCTGAAGCCTTGAATGACAGTGAACAAAGACAGCAATAAACGGTAATTCAGAGCCTGTTAACCCCGAGGTTTGAAAGTGGGACCATTCCCAAGAGAAGTATGAGCAAGCGATGAAGCATTCACAGAAAAGAACAAAAGATAAAGAAGCAAACAAACCAGGCCTGAGTCACAGAAATTAGCAAGGTCCTGGTTCCAGGCTGGAGCCTTCGAAAATTATGCTGCCAGTTCAGGGTTATAGTGACTGTGCCTTAAAAGCAAACACTTCCTACAGCTTTTTGCATCTGCAGTGAAAAAAATGTTTCAGTTACCAAGCGATTTCTAGATCTCGGGGCTCCTCATTTCCTCTGTTAAACAACCCCAGGGGACTCTTTCCACTCCCCTTTCTCAAAACTACTCTGTACTCAGAAAGGGTTCTTGTCTCAGAGACGGAAAGGGGGAGAGGCCCTCCTCCTTAATCTCCTCGAAATTGAAATTAACACAGGAGACAATGAGCAGATGTAATTAGGAAATACAATCACACACACACACACACAGAATCCCTACAGAAAACTCATCTTCAACTTAAAACACCATTTCCTTCTAACTGGCTGTGTGGTCTTGAGTAAATTAAGTCCATCTCTCTGGGCCCTCAGGTTTCCTATCTGTAATACAGTCTAACTTCACAGCATTATTGTGGGAATCGAGTTAATGCATGTAAAATCCTCACCGAGTTTGTGGCACACGCTAAGCACCCAATGAGCGTGCATGATCAAAATGATGAGGATTTTTAACTACGATGGGAGATAAAGTGCCTACCACAGGTGCAACCTCCACCAGTGACAGGTAAGATCAAAGCAGGAGTCAAGGAACCTGCCACCGACGGGCGGGCGAGCGCTGGTCGCGGGGTAGCGGAGCCGCCGCGCGCCGGGAGGGCTGCCCGAGCAGCCGCAAGCCCCGGTCGGCGGCGCGCGGGCCCCGGGGCCGCCCTGCGAGAGGCTGTCACTAACGCACGTGACCTGGCGCCGGGCCGGGCGACGCTCCGGAGCTAGAAACAAGCCCGGGCAACATCGCCCGGGCGCCCAGCAAGCGAGGGAGAGGGGCCCGCGGAAGGCGGGGGTGTTGGGGGCTGGTCCGAGGGCGAACCAACGCGGAAACCCGCCCCGGAGGGTGAGAACCAAGCAGACCTGGACGCCGAGACCCTGACCCCAGCTGTCCCTTTGCCCGAGCGTCTGGGGGCACACAGGGACACAGAGTTGCTGTGAGAGGAAAGCTAAGGGCCTCGAGAGCTATGGGAGCCCAAGACGGTGAGGCAGCCCCACCACGTCTTGGCCGTCGTGGGAAGGAAGGGCTGGGCCCGGTGGGTACGGGCGTGCCGCCCACCCAACCTCCTTGTTTAAGACCAGGAGCCAGGCGCCCACCTTGCTGTGGTCACTGACCCTGGGAGTTGACTGACCTCGTCTATTGGCTCGGGATGCAAGCCGGCAAGGCAAAAGAGGCCATGAGACCAGACCTTGAAGGCAGAGACGCCAGGAGCCTGGAGGGGCTCTGCTCCAGGAGACAGGAGAACCCGGGGCAAGGAGACAGGGCCCGGTCCAGGCTCGGCTCTGACCCAGGGAGCCGAGGCTTCTGTTCTGGTGTTTACACAGCACAAAACCTTGGGCGTTTACCAGAGGCCCACCTGGTCACCCGGTTATTTATAGTGAGTGGAATGTTAGGGGGCTTGAAAATATTTTTCAAACCAAAGCTCTGTAGGGGTATAGACGGATTCACACTGTTTGGCAAAGACAAAATAGTCATTTCGACGTATCTCCACCCTCAGGTGGATTTTGTTTCAACTGAGATGCAGTTCTCTGACCCAGGGTGAAATTTATATAGAGACCCCTGAACAGGTGTGTCATATATGAAGGATCTGAAAGACTCTGGCCTCTTGACCCTCAGGGGTATCCTGTGGCCAGTCTGTTTCCAGCAATACTCGTTTTAAAGGGTGTAAAACACAGGACTGTCTGACACCCGGGAGTAATAACCAAAATTCAGGGGCCACTTGACTTTTTTTCTCAGAAGATAGATCAAGGCATTAACTTGGATTTTGGCAAATCAGGCTCATCCTCATATTTTCTCTTGATTGTCATTGCTAATGTTACATGCCCCCAAATCTCCTTTCTTCTTAGGAATTTGCCAAGAGACCATCTTGTCATTCAGAACCCAGGCATGATGGTAATTCTAAGAGTCTGATTTCTTAAAAGGTCACAGCGAGACTTACCTTTTTCCAGTGTGATAAGATTTATCATCATTAAAGGCAAAATTTGGAAGCATACAATACCTTGTCACAACAGAGAAAACGACCTGAGACCTGAGGTAGATGCTGATTTCAAAGATGGTCACGACAGTATCTCCATCATGAAGTCTATTTTTCCTTCCGTTTGAATTGGGGCTGGCCCTGTGACTGCTTTGACCTATAGAATGTCGCAAAAATAGTGTTCGAGTTCTTCCAAGACCAGACGTTAAGCAAACCTGATGGTTTCTGCTTTGCATTCTGGGGAACACCAGCCACCATGCTGTGAGGAAGTCTAAGCTATGTGGAGGGGCCACCTGGAAAGAGATGACTGACTGGCCCCTAGTTGTTCAATCTGTCTCAGCTGAGGTACCAGACTTGTGAGCGAAAAACTGCTCTAGGAAGGTCCAAGGCCAGCAGATAGCACATGGAACAAAGATGAGCCATCCTCACTGAGCCCTGCCAAAACTGTAGAATCATGAGCAAATAAATGATTGTTGTTCTAAGGCACTAAATGTTGGGGTAGTTTTAAAAGCAGCAATAGGTAACCAAGACAAAGCTAAACAAGAGAAAGTCCCCTAGGATACAGATCAACCTTCTGTAGACTCCACAAGGCAGAGTTTGGGGGATAATTTTTTTTTTTTAATCTTATCTCAGGAGTTATTTGCTCTCTGTTTACTCTCTTGCTGATTTATAATCGTACCACCTGGTGCTTGTTTATCCCAGTGTTATACCAAAGGTGGGGGGAGGAGACATAGGAGAAGTCTGCCCCAATGAGGGAAGAGTATTTTATCACCGTACCTTGTTTGGAACTGTTAGAGCATGAAAATAATAAAAAGCAAACAGAATTTTCATCAGTTTTATTATTGTTTTTAAGTTCTCTCCACTCACACACACACAAAAATCCACTGCTTGTTGCCTGAACGGGTGGCTCCCATTGCCTCCCTCCTTGGTTTACATACACACTCGCAGCGAGACTCAGAGTAACGTCGTCTCCACAGCACAGAGCTGTCTGAACACAACCAAACTGTCAAATCACACAGCTGCAAACCAGCCTCTTGTCTGTTGGCTGACAAAGACCCAGCCAGGTTCCCTGCCTGGGCAGACCCAGTGAATCCAACCTTCCTTTAATTCACAGGATAATTCTCAGTGGGTTGCCATAGTACCCACTTCCAAGCTGACCCCCTGCTGTGGGGGTGACCCTTTCCCCATCTGTCAGAGCCCTCCTGTCTGTTTTCCATGGAGCTCAATGCACTGCCTTATCTACCCCAACAAAAGAAATTCAAACTCAAGTTTTGTTTTGAAGGACCACAGGGCAGGGCCACATTTCTGCCAACTTCCAGAAACAATACAGCTAATGCCCCTGCCTCCTGTTAACAAAGGCAGGCTACGGCCATTACCCTGCCAGTTGCGTCAAGGCTGCTAAAGAATGTTGTTTCCTACCAAGCTGCAGATGGGGAACCCCATAGGGTGGCTGCTCAGGGCAACCTCAGAACAACAAAGCAACAAGTCATTCAGTCTTTAGTGAGGAGACTCCCAAAGTGAAGTCTGCCCAGGTAACTTTCAATCTGTCCATCAACACAGGGTTTGGTAGCCTTCTACTATCCGTCCAGCTTGATGTCAAGTATCTGGGAAAGATAAAAGATTTGTTTGTTGTTTGTGCATTTTGGGAAAACAATCACTTGAAATTCTAGTGAAATCTGTTGTCATAAGAGAAAGAAAGAAAGGGTCTGTCTTGGTCTCTAGAAAGCTTGGAACAGAAGGAAGCAAGAGGTTTGGTGAACTCCACTTTCTGGAAAAGAAACAAAAAAAGTCAGGCAACTGGGCTGCCAGTTATCATCTCAGGAAGAAGTCAGGAATGATACTAGAGTCATTGTGTACTGGCTTTTCAGACTCTGGAAACTCTGTTACTACAGCAGATTCATTTTTTAAATGAATGATGATTAAAATAAAATCCTTAAAATGAAAAGGGTCTGTGTTCTGGCTGAGGCTCCAGGAGGGAGAAGGGAGGTGGGACCACCTTGTTCAGCAGCCAGTGTTTGAGGAGCAGAGCCCCCAAGAGCCGTGGTGGCATGCTGTGGATTGTGAGTGACTGGTGACAGTCCCCCAGACCTAGTGTGCTTTCTCCAGTTTCTGTAAAGTCCCCACTTGAAAGACTTTTTGGTTTCTAGGTGAATGTACAAAAAGTATCCAATTATTTAAAATTATGTTAAAATGTATCCTTACAGCAGAGAGTCATCCCTCCATGGATGTGACCTAGATCCATGATCTAGAGTAGCCCTCTATACACAGCACACACACCAGGGCACCATGAAGCTGAAGACAACACCCGTCCCCCACTCTGGAGGGGCAGACATGACCTGTCCCAGCAGTAAGGCAGCTGTTATCTGAGGAGTGTGAGCAAAGGTCTTTTGTTGCTGCTAGTGCGGAAGCTACCTCTTCACTCTCACGGCTACTTCTGCGTCATTGCCCAACAGCCCACATGTGCCAGAGGCAGCTCCAGGTGGGATCTGTAACCATGAATCACTCGGTTATAGGGACAGCTTGAGCAGAACTTGTCTTGCCGCCTTTCTCCAAGAGGGTGACGTAGACAATGTGATTGCTCCTTATGTAAGCTGCACTCTGCCTGCCAGTCTGCCTGTTTAAGGAAAACTTGTTTACTGGGTTATTCTGTTTGCTGGAATTAACTACCTTAAATATCCATTACATTCTGCAAGATTAATTTGTGTTCAGGTTTTTCAAGGCTTTGGCCATGAAATCAGAGGCAGGAGGGTTTTTGATTTCTATTCTTGGGGGCCTCTTTCCCTGTTTACTCCTCTGGTAGGAGTCATCATGCCTCTTCCTTTGAAGCTCAGACAGGAGGATATGAATAATATAGCCTGTAAAGACTGAATGTCACCCACTCATTTCTTCAGGCCTGCTGTGTTTACAGCATCCATCCATTCATTCAGTAATTATTTAATGAGCACCTACTCTATGCTAAGCGCTGGAGATAACCACAGTGAACAAAAACAGTCTCAGCCCTCAGGAAGCTACCCTCTAGTGGAGCAGATAAGTGTGGAATGTAATGGGTGCTGTGAAGGAAGACAAAGCTGGATTCAGGATGAGACAGACATTGGTGGGGAGGCCTTACAAACAGCCATGAAAAGCAGAGAAGCAAAAGGCAAAGGAGAAAAGGAAAGATATACCCATTTGAATGCAGAGTTCCAAAGAAGAGCAAGGAGAGATAAGAAAGCCTTCCGCAGTGATCAATGTAAAGAAATAGAGGAAAACAACAGAATGGGAAAGACTAGAGATAGCTTCATGAAGACTAGAGATACCAAGGGAAATTTTCATGCAAAGATGGCCACAATAAAGGACAGAAATGGTAGGGACCTAACAGAAGCAGAAGATATTAAGAAGAGGTGGCAAGAATACACAGAAGAACTATACAAAAAAGATTTTCATGACCCAGATAATCACGATAGTGTGATCACTCACCTAGAGCCAGACATCCTGGAGCGCGAAGTCAGG